GCACCTAACACAGGAAAGCACCAATTCATGAAGCAAATTCTACTAGATCCAAGTAATGAGATAAATGGCAGCATCAAAACTGCCAGGGACTTCAATATCCCACTGAAAAGAAATAGGCAGATCATCCAAGCAGAAAAGAAGAAAACAATGGACTCAAATGGGACTCTAGAATAAATGGGCCTAATAGACATTTACATAATATTCTACCCCAAAACAACTGAACATACATTCTTCTTATCAGCACACGGAATATTTTCCAAGACTGATCATATCTTAGGCCATAAAACATTTCTCAAGAAACACAGAACTCATGCCATGTATCTTCTCAACCACAGTGGAATAAAACTAGAAATCAACTCCAAGAGAAACACTCAACTATACATAAAGTCATGGAAATTAAATAACCTGCTGCTGAATGATTATTGGATTAATGATGAAATTAAGATGGAAATCAAAAGATTCTTGGAACTCAATGACAAATTGTGTGATAGTGACACAAGCTATCCAAATATATAAAATTCAGCAAAAGAAGTCCTAAGGGGGAAATTCCAAGCCTTAAATGCCCATATCAAAAAGAAAGATTACAAATTAATGATCTAATTACACACCTCCAGGACCTAGAAAAGGAAGAGTAAACCAGACCCAGAGACAGCAAAAGAAAAGAAATAACTAAGGCCAGGGTAGAATTAAACAAAAGCACAACAACAACAACAAGATACAAAAGATCAACAAAACAAAAAGTTAGTTCTTTGAAAAGGTAAACAAAATTGATAGACCTGTTAGATTAACCAAGGATAGAAGAGAAAGGACCTAAATAAGCTCAATCAGAAATTAAAAAGGAGATATAAAAAGTGATACTACAGAAATACAAAGTATCATCTACAAATAATACAAAAATCTCTACAAATATAACCTCAAAAACCTAGAGGAAATGGACAAATTCCTGGAAACATATAACTTCCCAAGACTCAATCAGAAAGAAACAGAACTGAACAGACCAATAAGAAGCAGTAAGATTAAAGTAGTAATAAAAAAAAAAAAACTTTCAAAAAAGAAAAAATGTCCTGAACCAGATGGATTCACAGCTAAAATCTATCAGATGTACAAAGAAGAGCTGGTATCCATACTGCAGAAATTATTCCATAATATCAAAAAGGTAGGAATTCTTCCGAACTCATTCCATGAAGCCAGTATAACCTTGATACCAAAGCCAAAAAAGGACATAACAAAATAAGAAAATGATAGACCAAATCACTTAAAAATGTAGATGCAAAAATCCTAAATAAAATACTAGCAAACTGAATTCAACAGCACATGAAACAAATCCCCCAGGACTGAGTGCAGTTCATTCTAGGAATGCAAGAATGGTTCACAACATATAAATCAGTACATGTGATTCACCACATAAACAGAAACAGAAACAAAGACCATGGTCATCTGAATAGATGAAGAAAGGCATCTGACAAAATCCATTACCCTTTTATGACAAAAACTCTCAACAACAAGGCATAGAAGGAATATACCTCAAAATCATAAAAGTCATATATGACAAACCCACAACCAAAATCAAACGGATGAGGAAAAGTTGAAAGCATTTCCCCTAAGAACTAGAACAAGACAAGGGTGCCCACTATTACCACTTCTAGTCCACAGTGCTAGCCAGAGCAATTAGGCAAGAGAAAGGAAAATAAAGGTATCCAAATGAGGAAAGAGGAGATCAGACTATTTACTTTTTGCTGATGATGTGACCAAGGAAACCCAGAGACTCCACCAAGAGACTCTTGGAATTAATAAATAAATTCAGCTAAGTCTTAGGTGACAAAATCAATGTACCCAAATCAGTACCATTCCTATATACCAATAACAATCAAGCCAAGAGTCAAATCAAAGACTGAATACTATTCACAATCATTACAAAGAAAACCCAATAACCAAGGAGGTGAACGATCTCTACAAGGAGAACTATGTAACTCTGAGTAAAGAAATCAAAGAAGGTAACAAGCAAGTGGAAAAGGCTCAGCCCTCACATGCACCAAGGCCGGTGGGTTCAAGCCCAGCCTGGGCCAGCTAAACAACAATGACAACTGCAACAAAAAATTAGCCAGGCACTGTGGCAGACACCTGTAGTCCCAGCTACTTGGGAGGCTGAGGCAAAAGAATCGCTTAAACCTAAGAGCCTGAGGTTGTTGTAAGCTGTCACACCATGGCATTGTCTCAAAACAAAATGGAAAAACATACCATGCTCATGGATAGGTAGAAATGTGAAAATGTCCATACTACCCAAAGTGCTTTATAAATCGGATGTAATCCACATCAAGTTACCAAAGCCATAGTGCATAAACCTTGGGAAAAAAAAATTCTATGTTTCATCTGGAACCAGAAATGAACCCCAATAGCCAAAACAAACTTAAGCAAAAAGAACAAATCTGGAGGTGTCACATTACCAGACTTCACACTGTACTATAAGCCTTTAGTACCACCAAAACAGCACGGTATTAGTACGATAATTGAGATATAGATCAATGGAACAGAACAGAGAACCCACATATAAAACCATCTATGTACAACCAACTGATTTTTGACAAAGCAGAGAACAATATACACTGGGGAGAGAAGCCCCATTCAATAAATGGTGCTGTGGAAATTGGATAGCCACATGCAGAATGAAACAGGATCCATATCGCTTGCCACTCCCAAACATTAATTCAAGATGGATAAAAGATTTAAATGTAAGGCATGAAACCATAATATACCAGCCTAGGCAAAGTTTCTGACTAAACCCCAAAAGCAATAATAGCAACAGTAAAAATAAACAAATGGGACCTGATTAAATTAAAAAACTTCTGCACAGCTTAAGAAATAATTAACAGAGCAAACAGACAACCTACAGAATGGGAGAAAATATTCCCAAAGTACACATCTGATAAAGGGCTATTATCTAGAATCTACAAAGAACTCAAACAAATTAGCAAGGAAAACACAAAACAACCCCATTGAGGTGGGCAAAATACATGAACAGAAGCTTCTTAAAACAAGATAGACAAATGGCCAACCAACATAGGAAAAAATGTTCAACATCACTAATATTTGGAGAAATACAAATTAAAACCACAGTGATATATCATCTTCTTACCCCTATTAGAACAGCTCTTATTAAAAAGTCTAAAAACAACAGGCATATCCATGGATGCAGAGAAAAAGAAACACTTATCTACTGTTGGGGAACTGTGAATTAGTACAGCCTCTATGGAAAACAGTATGGAGACTCCTCAAAGAACTATTAATAGAAGCAGACCTACTATTCAATCCATCAATCCCACTACTTGGCAACTACCCAAAGAAAAGGAAATCATTTTATCCAAAAGACACCTGTACTTGAATGTTCATTATAGTAAAACTCACAAATGCAAAGATGTAAAATCAACCCAAGTGTCCATGATTAACAAAATGTGGTAAACACATACTATGGAGCACTACTCAGCCATAAAAAAGATGAATTAATGCCTTTTGCAATAATTTGGATGAAACTGGAGACAAACACCTTGAGTGAAGTATCTAAAGAATGGAAAAACAAACACTGCATGTACTTGGAACTAAGTGATGAGCACACATGCACAGAGGGAAATCAAGCAAGAGGGGAAGGATGGGAAAGAGGGGAGGTGAAAACCTCCCTAACAGGTATAGTGAACATGATCTGGATGAGGACATATTCACAGCCACCACTCAAACACTACCAAAGCAATCCATGTAACCAAAAACATTTCTGCCCATTTAATATTCTGAAATTTTAAAAAATTAAATAGAGTTATGGGTTTATGGATTTCATTCCTCAGATTTCCCTTATTAGTGATACAATTCATTTAAATAATTACTTTAAAAATAAGTTTTATCTTTTTCCAGATTTTCAAACAAAATGTAATACACATATTCTTTAAAAATAGGCATAAGCTCTATTTCAAGCTACTCAATGTAACTGACAGAGTTGCCCAAAATTTCTACTTCTCCCATTGTCCAACCTTGAACTTTGTGAGCTGTAACACCGTGACATTGTCTCAAAACAAAATGGAAAAACATACCATGCTCATGGATAGGTAGAAATGTGAAAATATCCATACTGAGATGGTTATTAATATCTTACACACTAAATTTCCAAAGCTGCTTTTTCTCCAGGTCACTAGTAATCTGGTCCCTGGTATCATTCTAGGTAATACCAGGTTAGTTCAGTGATGCAGTCATCTTTATATTAGTGTTATAATAATGGTGACAACAATAATCATAACTTCCAGCTTATTACTTTTAAATCCTACAAAAATGCCATAAAGATGATTTATTTTCATTTCATAGTTGAGGAAAGAGGGGCTCAATGATAGTATGCAACTTGCCTAAAGACAATAACAAATAAGTGGTGAGCTGGAGCTTGAATCCCCAGGTCTGTGTGACTCCAAAACACACACTCTTCATATTATACCAGCTCAGGCTCCCTCTCCATAAGTGTCCATTATTAATGCTACCTTGAGAAAGCATTTTATGATGTGAAACCTTAATAAGATTATATATACTCCTTCAAATAATATTTTAAAAGAAAATAAGCCATTGAAATTATTGAAGACCAACAAAAATAAAATAAAACCCACTCTTGGAGGTAGTCATAGAGAATTAAACTGCTAAATATACAAAAGTTAGTAGAAATAAAAATCTAAGAGAAACTAGAACCAAAATGAAATGTTTTATCAACAATGTCAGGGGTCCCTTGTACATCTGATTTTAATCACCACTAATATCATTTTCAAAGTAATAAGATTAAGTAAGTGTGATAGGGTCTTGATTGTTTTTTTCTTATGTAGTAGTAAAAAAACAGAATTTTAACCCAGAAAGTATCCAAGATGGGTAAATATAACTGTTTCTAAAATACTGAAAAACATTCTTTATGTAACTATTGTTTTAAAAAAGAAATTCAGTGCTAAAAAATTATTAGGATATAAATATACAATGATACTTACAAGTAATACTGACCAAGAAGGACCTTATTCCAAATTCGCCAATTTGCTTCCATTTAGCATGAAATTTAGATGTAATTACAGGGATAATAATCTCTGCAGGAACATAGAACTGAATTGAATAGGTCACAAAAATCCCAAAAGAATATAGAATTTTCACTGATTGATATAGCCTGTCGAAAAAAGATTTCAAAATTTAGTCATTCTTAATAAATGTTCTTAAGAATGCAACATTCTTCCTTTTTATTTTTAATGTTAACATAAATAAGAAACACAAACTTAGGCCAGAACCTTACTAACTAAAAATGCTTCTTTGCCAAAAATATCCCAACTGATCTTCACTAACTCTATTTATAGGTGATATATGGACAATTCATTTGACAAGTCTGGATGGCTTGAACATGACATGCCAATGCTTGAGGAGTACAGTTGGAAAGATTTCATTGTGGGCTAAGCTAACATTTGAAAGATTAGGGTTAACTTATGTAGAGCTAATGTTTTGTCAACTTTCTTTAAAAAATGTGACCTCCTATGTCTTTAAAATCTTGAGTCACACCCTCATTGATCTTTATGTAGAAAAGAAACTCATATTCAATTCAATCAGGGGTGTCTAACCTTTTTTCTTCTCTGTTCCACAGTGGAGGAAGAAGAGTTGTCTTGAGTCATACATTAAATACACACACAACAATGAAATTTGAAGAACCAAAAAAAGGTCTGTGCATAATTTTTATAATATCCAACACCACAGATAAACAAAGCAATTCTCACATAATCCATGTGTAGTCCATGGGCCACAGGTTGAACACCCCTGCGACAGTTCACCTTGGTTAAAAATCTTGGTAGGTATGTCATTAGTTGCAGAAATGTCTTAAGTCTAAAAGGAGGGCATCTGAATGGTCTCAACTTCACAGTTCTCTAAATTACATAGTACCTTATATTAAAGTAGTTGTGGGTTAGGTGGTGGTGGTTTTTTCTTCAGAGTAAACTTACTGCTTTGATGCCCAGGGCTTCAAAACAACTCAATTTTCAGCTTTATAAGTATATTTAGATTAATACACTGTAGACAGCCTCCTGTCAAAACTTATCATTCATGTTTTGATAAAGACTTCAGCAAATTTCTTATGCCTGACAGAAGACTTTTTAGATGTTAATAATGACATGGAGAGAAATTGTAGAGTCATAAGAAACAGAAGAAGGAACGTTATAGAGAACTTCCTCCCTTGGGTTGCAGATAATGTGTTGTATTTTTTTAATTTAAATTTTTTTTTATGCAATGTGTGTCTTGTGTGACTAGCTTTGTTCATTTGGCATGTATCATTATACTGTAATATACTTATGCTGTAGCATGTGGAGTACTTCATTCCTTTATATTGCTTAGTAATATTCTATTGCATGGACATACTACTTTTTTTTTTTAATTAAATCATAGCTGTGTACAATAATGCAATCATGGGGTACAATGTGCTAGTTTTACACACAATACTTTCATCAAACTGGTCTACATAGCCTTCATGGCATTTTCTTAGTCATTTTATAACAATCAAAATAAAAACTCAATCACTTTTGTATTTTTTAAGAAACAAACTGTGAAGGAGACAGCAGATTAAATGTGTCACAGTATTGGGGCAGTGATAATCACCTGTCCCCTTTCAGTAGAAATGTCATCAACCAGCCATAATCTTCTCCCTTCCCACCTCAGAGTTCTAAGCATATGGAAAAGCATTTTCCTTCTTAGGGAAAAATACAATCATTTTAAAAGGATATAAAATATTCTACTTTCAGTAAAGAAAACTCTCAACATTATTTAGGCTTTAAACTTATTTCTGATATCTTCAGACTTAAAGTAGTAAGGATTATAAACAGTTTCTCTAAACTTGCCAAACAAAAAGAAATTCAGTAAGCCTCCTGCTATAACACTGTTCATCACAAAGTAAGAGGAAATAAAAAAGCAGAGTGAGAAAGGATTTAAAATGTATAGCTTAATTAGAAAAGAAGGAACTCCTTAAGGCTACAAACAATAAAATCTTAATTTCAAAATGAGCTAAGAATGTAATTTCTCTGCTTGAGGCTTAAAAGTTAAACATATGGTCAAGTTACTGAAAATATGTGAAATACCTGGAAGATGCTTGTTTCATATACTCTGATAGGTGAGAGTAGAGAATTAAATAAATAAATATTCTTATTAGTTTATTATTAGTTTTAAAAAGATTTCCTTTTTTTCTTTTTTTTTTTTTTTTTTTGAGATGGAACCTCAAGCTATCCCCCTGGGTAGAGTGCTGTGGCATCACGCTCACAGCAACCTCCAACTCCTGGGCTCAAACGAGTCTCCTGCCTCAGCCTCCCAAGTAGCTGGGACTACAGGCGCCCGCCACAACGCCTGGCCATTTTTTGGTTGCAGCCATCATTGTTGTTTGGCGGGCCCGGGCTGGGGATTCGAACCCGCCACCTTAGGTGTATGTGGCTGGCGCCTTAGCCTCTTGAGCCACAGGCACCGAGCCGACATTCCTTTTTTTCTAATTATCTTTTCATTTATGTTTTTAACATATAGTTAATAATATATATAAAAATAGAACTACAGTTTACATGTAAGTACAACTACTTTTGTATTGAGATAAAACAAAGTTACATGAGCTAAGAATTAAATATTAATTAAATTAATGACCAATGAGTATGGATAGACAATTCTAAGAAACTACATCCATCAAACATGAGAAATATTAATAATACTTCAAAGAATAAAATGCTTCATGCCTGAAAACAAAATCTATTACACTGATAGATACTGATAGCAAAGAAATTTACATCTTAGTAAAGGTAGAAAGGTATTTTTCAATAATTATTTTTCAATCAATCTTTGGAATCAGATTATAGGGGGGGAAACAAAATAAAGTTCTAGTGAAAATATTATTTTTAAAAACAAGATTTCAAATTGTGCAATGCTTTTATTACTTTCCCCACATTGGCTAACAAGTCAATACTTGACCTAAATTTTTTTCAGGTATGGATTTCTTAAAAGTTTTTAAAAACCAACTTGGGAAATAAGCTGTTGGCCAATTCTCCTTCTCTCAAGGTTGAATACAGAAGCCATCTTGGAAATAAGGTGAAAACGCACTTTTCCCTTTTGGACTCTTTATGACACTCAGGTTGAGAATCTTGACAGTTTAGCTCTGTCACACCATCATCTTAACTGAGGACTAGCTCCAGTCCTTACCAAGAGCCTTGCCTCATTCTAAGCTTAAAAATAAGACAACTATGGTTATTTAGCATTCCTGACTAGATTAAATGCCTTGAACCAATAAACTTCTGTAGCATGTTCACTAGAATTTAAGCATTACAAGGAAGAGATTAGATCTGTTTACTGCTATATCTCCAGAGCTTAGAACAGTACTTGGGGCAGAAAAGACGAACAGTAAATGACTCCGGTAGATGCCCTTCACTTTGAACTTAATAACAACAACAATCATTCTGATAAGGAAAGACAGAGGCAGTCTGGGCCAGATCTCTAGTGATCAGCAACTTTAATATCAGATTATTAAGAAACTGCAAGGGAGAGGACAGAGGGAACAGTCTAGGATACATTAACTCCCTTTTTCAGTTTCCTTACACTTCTTTACTTCTTATGCCTCTGGGTAAATCCGTTCCTGCCTAAGTACGTTCATCGGGGTAACAACCTCCTCAGGGTACAACCCCTTGACAACTAGTAGGACCAATTAAGACACAGCCTAATTACCTGCCACAACCCACCGACTTTATTTCCCACAATACTCAAGTTCCGAGCACCTGTATCCTACAAACATGGGCTCAAACTTGGGGATTTTTTTCTTTCTTTAAAAAATAAGATACTTGTACAATTATCTTAGTAAATTCTAAAATGCCTACCTCACCCTTTCTCTGTTCCCATTTTATAACTGAAGTTTTCCCACCCAATGCACGTTTCATACAAAATCACACACATAAGAAAACAGAAGTCACCAGGCTGCTACTCAATGGTTTTAGTGTATAAACCTCAGACTTTTCATATTTCTTAGTAAAGGTGTTATGAGTACTGATATAACAATTAGCATGTGAATTTATTCTAGGCCTTTATTTTCAAATTCTATGTCATGACCCATTAATGGGTTATGATATCAATTTAGTGAGTTGTGAACAGTTTTTCTAATGATATAGAAGGGAACAAAAAATGTCAGGGACAATTAGTGCAGAAAAACTGATGGCTTTTATTTAACCTTTCATTTACTCTCATGATCTATGCGTGTGGAGGAGGCATGCACACAGAGAAACTCACACACATGCAAATACACACACACTGGGGTTTTCTATAAAACACATTTCCCTTTCTTACTTTGAGTTACAATTCAGAAAGTTTAAAAGTTACTAATTGAAACCAAACAAGCAGGAACAGTAACTATGATGGGAAAAAGGCAAAGACTTTCTGGTTTTGACTGGTTAAAAAAAGAGCCACAACATAAAAAGTAAACGAACGAAACTAACAATGAAAAGAAAGATGTTTATTCCTATAATGTACATACAAGGTGGTCATAACATTCCTGTGCAGTAATTTAAATTGCACACAAATGTTATGGACATTCAATAAGACAGAAAACAAATAAATACCATTCACTATGTTAAATCCTCTGGAGAACTTGTTATACCACACAATTGACACCCAATGATTACCCTAGGGCCTCCAGAACTTCAACTGTCCCTTAAGATGACATAAGATAAAAATCTGCCTCATTCTTTGTGTTGAATTTGACAAATTGAAAATTGGATAAATTAAAAATATAACAAATTCAAAAAATTCAATTTAAACACAACATAGGAGATTGATAATGATGTGGCATTCACTCCCAAGCACCAGCTCAAAAGATAATAATACTCTACTTAAAATCTCTGCTGTTAGTCTGCCTAATTATATACTCCTTTTTTTTTTTTTTTTTTTTTTGAGACAGAGTCTCACTCAGTTGCCCTGGGGTTGAGTACTGTGGCCATCACAGCTCATAGCAACCTCGGACTCTTGGGGCTCGAGTAATCCTCTTGTCGGAGCCTCCCAAGTAGCTGGGACTACAGAGCCTGCCACAATGCCAGGCTCGTTTTTTTCTGTTTTGTAGAGACAGGGTCATGCTTTACTCAGGCTGGTCTCAAGCTCCTGACCTCAGGCAAGCCACCCGCCTCGGCCTCCCAGAGTGCTGGGATTACAGGCCTGAGTCACGGTGCCCAGTCACATTCCATTTTTAGTCCACATCAATCTCAAGCAAATTTTTCCTAAGAAGACTCTATAAACTAAGGCAATACTTAGTAACATGTCAAAACTTGAAACACTCTGTGTGAAAGAACAGAAATCTATATAAAATAATATGAAGAATCCTTCGAATCAATCCTGATGGAAAGGAGTATCACTGTATGATTCGTGTTACTGTTACCATCCTGACTCTATTTGCATGTGTTTTTGAAATCTCATATTCAACAGGTTCCTTATTCCCTCTTGGTTATTTCCCTTGCAACTGTTCTGCTCTGGAGTACCTATTTCCTTCTGGGGGACAGCAATGTGTGAGGGATTCTCAGAGTGTAGAAGCTAAACTTGGTGGATCTTTCTGAAGCATAAATTTCAATCAAAGGATTTTTTTGAAGTGTGGGAATTGTTTTTATATAAAAGTCAACATAGATATGAACTAGAATGCAAAAGATGCACTTTTTTTAATAGAGCATGAACTAATGCTATGCTTGAGAAGAATACTTTATTATTTCCTCTATTCTTTGGGTTACTTTAGTGAAAAACTTGGAAAAATATTGTTAAAACATCATTTGACTAAAACTAGTAGTGGTGCCTTGGTAATAAGGGAAATGCTTTTAAACCTAGACTAGTATTTAACAAATATTTACTAAGTGTTTCTTAACAGTCAAGCTAGATTATAGAGAGGCACCATGAACCTAGATGTAGGATCTGTGTCCTCAATATGCTAACCTAGCACAGAGTTGTGAATTAATTTCATTATCATCTTTACAATACACTCTTTCCCTCAAATGCTAAACTAGATATTAAAGATATTCCTCAGAAAGACTGAAAGTAATAATGAAGAACTTGGAGCTTCTCTAATCCATACTTGCTTTATCCTAGGGCCTCTTTCTAACTCAATCTTTTCTTACAAAAATAACCCTAAGAACGCTGAGACTTTAAGTTAACATGGCACCAAAGCCCTTCACAGCTTTTCCTAGCTGGTAACCATGAGTGCTCAGCCAATAGTGTACACTGCACATTAAGGCCTCTCGCGTGATGCCCAGGAAGGAAGCAAAGGAGAGAGACTCTTATATATTAAGTCTTAGGAATAATTCTAGGATTATTCTAGTCCAAACTCATCATTTTATAAAAGACCATAACTGTAAAAACATAAGCAACTCTTTTCCTATTAACTCCATCATGACTATTTTTTTTATTTCCTTGCTTATTTTTCATTTTTATTTGATTTTTTTTTTTTGAGACAGAGTCCCACCCTATGCCCTGAGCAGAGTGCAATGGCATCACAGCTCACTGCAACCTCAGACTGGGGCTGTTGGCATCCTGCTGCCTCAGTCTCTGGAAGCCGCTGGGATTATAGGCAGTCACTGCAGTACCCGGCTGGGTTTTTCATTTTTTTATGAGTTGGGGTCTCACTCTTGCTCAAGCAAGTCTCGAACTCTGGAGCTCAAGCAATCCTCCCGCCTCAGCCTCCCACCTCCAGTGCTGCGATTACAGGCGTGAGCCACCGCACCAGGCATGACTATTATTTTAACTGTCCAACAACTGCAGAGACCACAAAGCAACAGACCACAGGCCACGTAAGGCCTAACTATTAACCAACAGAATGAAAGGCTATTAACCAACAGACGTTCTCTAAAGGGAAAATTTCTCTTGACTTGCTTTCCTGTTTTTTCCATGTTGTTTCTTAGGATACTTGTTCTAGGCTTTCTTCTAAGGAAAAGGAGGTGTCGAGCTAGACTTTCCCAAATAGAAACTATGATCTAATAGTCCTTTATAAATTAAAAGTCATAACTAGTTCCATTCTCCCTGGAACAGGAATAAAGTGAGAAGTGGGAAGGGACTGTGGGAACAGGGAAGGACTAATCAGAGCTACTGAGTTGTGAACACCAAAGCATTTCCTCCCATTCTCACCCCTTTCGTTCACTAGGTTCGTAACTGTCCAGAGATCAGAATCTCTTAACTTGAATGCGTAATACCTTAGTCCTTTTCCTATAAGATATTCTTTTGTAAATTCTGAGAATCTTTTTACCTATGTTTTACATTTGACATTAAAAATCTTGTCAAATTTATTTATAAAATCTTCTTAAAGATTTATCTAAATACTATTCTATATGGGGAAAAATACCATTCTATTTTCTAGGCATTTTCCAATATTTGAAAAGATGAACTATACTACCACCTTTTTAGCCCATAATATAAAGAGAACATTAAGATGTGCCATTTTATTTTATTTTTTATAAGTGCCCCAACTGTGTTCTGAAAGTCCTGGGGAAACGTATAATATAAAGCTGACCAGTAAAATGGTGATGACCGTAATGATGGGATATATTATTTTATCAGGAACCAGAGGGTTTGGGGTTTTGGCAGTAAGGAGAGGTCTTAATATATTTTTAATTAAAGTGAGTCCAAATTAAAAGAATCCATATTTTACTCTTACAACTTAATTCAAATTTGGAACAACCTACAATTTTTAAATCTTTTCTAAAACTTTACACAGGATCCTAAATTCACATATGGTCTGCTCTGAGAATAATGAAAAAATTCTACAAAACACAAATAAAGAAATCACAGTCAAGATTTTAAATGCTTAAACCATAAATCTAAAAACCATACTTTTATTACTGAATATTGGTAAATTATATCTATAAAATATTTAAGCCAGGATTAACAAAACTCATATCCACCTACCATACATCTTGGGGAAGATTTAAAGTTATGCTCCCTTTGATTTCATCACGGAAACACATATATCCTAAAGTAGCTAATGTTATATACAAAGTTGTGACGATTCCCATGCCAATATTCAGTGCTTGGGGGAAGCGTTTTGATTCTTTCATTTGGTTTTCCAGTGGAAGGACCTAAAAAAAATACAATTCTTTTTTTAAAAAAGAATACAAGTAATTCAAATAACAGCATCTCTATGCATACAAATTAGTCTTTTTATTGTCTAGATGCAAATATTTTTTCCTTTAAAACAACACATACAATCATTAAAGTATAATTCTACAGCTATGTATTTTTTACACTACATATTTTTTAATTCTTAAAATAAAATATAAAATTTATCTTCTATAAAATAATGTTTGGACTAGAATAATCATAGGACTATGCCTATAAACTCAGCTCTTGTCATGCAAATCTGACAAAATTTTTCCTAAATAATCTTTTTATTTTTGAATAATTTTAGATTCATAGAAAAGTTGCAAAGATAACACACAGATCCAGTTTCCCCTACTATTATCTTTTTAACATCTCTAGCTAAGAACCAACATTGATACATTACTAATAACTAAACTCCAAACTTCATATTGTCTGTATTAATATAAACTCATGTATATTTACTTTATACACTGAGTTATAATCTAATACTCTGTTACTTATCCTGTGACTCATATTGTTCCAGCTTTGGCCTCTGTGATTCTACCAGGCTGGTTCTTGTATCCCTTTGACAGGCCTCCAGTCTTCTGTTTTTCAAATATTTCCCTCACTTTCTGTCATAATAAGATACTCCAGATTCATTATGAATTTCCTTAGTTCAGCCCTAAAAACAGCCATTTCTCCAAACAACTTTTAGGTATTTTGCCGAAGAATCAAGATCTAGGTGGTGGGTGTGCTTGTTGCTACTGGGGTATCACTGCTTGCCGGCCCTTCCAGAAGGCAGAGCTAGGAAAAACATGCGTGTAAACTGAGCCGTATACCTGCACACGTTCAAAACTATTTCTATATCCACTTATATCTACTGTTTGCCAATTTTAGTAAAGCAAATAATTTTTATTTAGTTAAAATGAACCTTTAATAAGAAAGGATGATGGAAAAACCAAGTTGTTAAAGCAAATCCTGAGGTTTTGGCCCTACAATTTGGTCATACTGTGAAACACATTAAGCAGTAATAACAGTAAGTACTTACCAGGTGTTTACAATATACCAGGTATTAAAAATATAATATGCCAGATACTATCCTACAAACTTTGCATGTAGCATCTTATGCAGTCTTTACAATAATCCTATGAGGTAATGCAAATATTTTCCCCACTTTTCATGTAAGTCAATTATATATGGAGACATACAATGTTAATAATGGAAAAGAGAGCCGGGAACAGTTTAGATGGATGCTCTGGAGATAATCCAGACCCGAAATACCATGCAGCTGTCAAGAACGGCACCAGTGAAGCTAAAAAGGGAGAAGGGGACTGCCTCGGTACCACACAGCAGTAGAGGTGTTGTACGCATAATCTTCTTTATCAAACAGATTTGAGAAATAAAATAGAAGAATTAATATGTCTCAATTACTGACTGAAATGGGAAACCAAGGACAGGATAAAAAGAATTACTCCAACGTTTCAAGCTTAAACTGAAAGTAAAACTAAAAGAGAAAGAGTGAAAAAGTAAAGCTTGTTTTGGAGAAGGAAGCACATGTCAGACTTGGGAGTTGTTGAACTTAAGATGTCAGAGAAATAGCACTTAACTAGAAAATGTCCAACAGTTAACCAGAGCTCACCAGTTAAAGACAAAAATTTGCAGTTGTATCCAACAGTGATAACTAGAGCTGTGAAAATTTCTAAGAATGCATGAGAATTCTCTAAAATTCTCTAATTTGCCACAAGGCCTGGCTATTTTTTGGTTGCAGCCGTCATTGTTGTTTGGCGGGCCCAGGCTGGATTCAAACCCACCGCCTTAGGTTTATGTGGCTGGCGCCTTAGCCACTTGAGCCATAGGCACTGAGCCAAATTCTAGCTTTTAAATGAAGTGGGAGCATCTTGAATGGAAACATTTACGATCTTAGAATTCTCAGGATGCTTGTGTCTCTTGGTATTGGCTTCATGACACCACTGTTTCTCAAAACATGATATTCTAAAGGAAAAATTTATATTTGACTCTTCTTATGTAACAGTAACTTTATAACAATTTCAATGACCTTCAAATAATCTAGTCTATAAAATGTGATATTTGAGATGTACTTGAGTATGTGGGGTATACATAAAACAAGATTGGCCATGAGTGAATTGTTTCTGAAGCTGAGTGATGCTTACCTAAGAGTTTATTAAACTACTCTCTAAATTCTGTGTATGTCTTAAATTTTCCAAAATAAAATATTTAAAATTATCAAATCTGGTGGGGGAATAGGGAAGTAGAGGGAGGTGGGGGTGGGGGTCATGGTGTATGATATCCTCTTGGGGATGGGACACAATTATAAGAGGGACTTTAACAAACAAATGCAAGTAGTGTAGCCTGGTTCCTTGTACCCTCAATGAATCCCCAACAATAAACTAAAAAGAAAGAAAAAAAAAACTATCAAATCTAATTTCCTCATTTTACAGATACAGAAAAAGAAAATTAGAGAGCCTAAGTGACATGTCCAAGATTAAACTCCTAGTTAGTGGAAGACCTAAACTAAATTCAAGTCTTTCATACCAAACTAGAAAATCGTGTTCTAAGATTAAACAAAATTGAAAAAAACACATGCATTTTTTAAATTTAGTTGCCTATCCAAATCTTTATGTTGACTTAATACTTTAAAGATTAATAATAAAGACTGAATTCTTACCACTCCTATGCCTTCAAAAGCAAATACAGCAGTACCAAAGAAGAGTGGGTACTTCTTCCAACCAGCCACTATTGGGAGGTTGTGGGGATCTGGCATGTTCTAGAAAAAGAAAGAAAAAAAAGTACATTGGCTATATCTTTACTTATTCTAAAAAATTCAAAATGAAAAAGCAAAATCATATACTTTTGAGGTTCAGCAAAAGTGGGTTATGAAACTGAAAAATTCTTTCACTGAACACTTTAAGCAACCTTTGTTAAATGTAGCCAAGCTGTTAGGATTTCACTGCCAAAAGCAATTGCTTTCCTCATGCCCATACATTCCATGTGAGCAAAATACTCCTCATTACCTGTTTCCACCTGCAAGTCCCAGGCTCTGCACCTTAGGTATGGCTCCTGCCACAACAGGGAATACATAAGCGTACTCAAGATCTGATCTGGGAGCCGTTTAGTCAGGTATTAACCACTGCTCTTGGTACCAGAAGAAACTGATTCTCCACTCTACTCTCATTGCTCTTTCAGTTCCCTGAGACATGCAGTTTCTAACTTTGCCTTCTGCCTCATAGCTCTGTTGCTCCCTAGAACAGGTCTCCTTCTGGTTTCAGGGTTTGCTCTTTGACTGGACAGTTACCATTACTCTCATTTTCTGTATGTATGTATGCCCCAACTCTGGCTTTGATTATTTCGTCCTGACTCATAACCTTACTCCATCTCTCATCTATCTGGACAAACTCACCAACTATGCATCTGGTGTAAGATCTCTGGCTCTACAGTGGCCACTTTCTCCACACACACTCTTTGTTTTCTGCTTTACCTGATTGGAAGGCGAATTCAAGCCAACTAAAGAATAACCAAAGCAAAGAAGTGTGAATGTACCTGGATAACTTGGAGAACGGAGGGGTTTAGAACATCTGAAGCATAGAACTGTGTGATATAATCATGACACATGACTGAAAACATAATCTAGGTTCAAAGTGGAAAGGGTATTAAAATGCTTGGGTCCCTGGATAACACTAAACGATTATTCACGGTAAGCAGGAAGCTATTTCACTTCTCCAGGCATTAGCTAATGCTGTTTCCTCTACCCAGGGAACCTCGTTTCCTGCTCCACTAACTCTTACATGTTCAAGATGTCATGGAAGCCTTATGTGATCCTCCTGTCTTTCCTTTCCATTCATGCACTGTGACAGAGACTACAAGTTTTAAGATTCAGAGAGGGGGAAATGAGGTGAAAGATTTACGCAATCTGAAGAGAAACCAGAGTATCAGAGAAGGAGAAATGAAACACAGACCCATCATAATAAAAGTTTATAATGAACTGTTAATGGAGATACTACAACAATTACCTTGGAAGCAAGGTCATTGCCCCCTTTGTGAGATAAAAGTTATATAGCTGCTCAGCAGAAAAAAAATACATATATACATACACAAAACACTAAATCCTGCTGACAGTTGTGAGGGACTCTCTCGATCCAATCAACAGATTATTTTAAGGCAACTGGTTAAGAATCCCCAGACTGTGGACCATGAAATCAACTGAACTTACTGCACAGGCTTCCAATAAAGGGATTACAGACTATTGTAGTAGCAGAGAGAAAATCATGGAATTACATCTATACACTCATCTCTTGTGATTGGTTCAAATTTTAAAGGAATAAACAACACAATGAGTTCTTTGTTTCATGGTTAGCACTGTAGTAAGAACATAATCCTAAATCTCACAATAATTTTACTTGGGTAGGTATAACTGTCTTCTGAAGCACTGTCACAAAGCCCAGAAGCATATTTACCAAGATTCAAAACCAGATCTGACCACAGAGCCTGCGTTTTTAACCTCTATGTCATATACTTTTTTTAATTCAACAGTATCCCTCAAAAAGTAAGTAACATTCACTGATTGTCTACTGTATGCCATACATGAAGTAGGGCTTTTTACATATCATTAGCTTTACTTCCAAAGAAAACAAAAATTTTACTTATATAATAAATGCAGGACATTTAGTTAAAAACATGTTTTACTTACCCTAACAACGTAATAGTATATTATCACAAGACTGACAGCCATGGAGATGTTGGCAAGGAATGACAGTATAAACAGATTCTTTAAATCACGAATGAAGACCAAAAGAATTATAAAAGGAAGAAAGCAAAGCATATACATCCTTAGTTCAATACTTCTTCTCTCACATGGATTTGATGAACTGGTACTATTTGAAATAAACTCTTTACTCTCCAGGAGTCCTTCATGAACCTAGACAGAATTACCAGGAGAATAATGAAGGGAAGGGAAACTTCCATCAACTTGTAATCATAAAATACACAAAAGATAATTATGATCTATACATTTTGTGATATAGTCTATGACGTACTTTACAATAATTAAAATATGTACTTTTTTTTCAAGATACTCTGGCTGCTTAAAAACATACATATCAAACATAATTAAAGTAGGATAATCTTTGCATGGTAACTTCTATCGTACTGTGAAAAGAAAGTTCATTAGAAGATTATGAGAATAGATTTACCAGTTTACTTTGAAGCTCTGTGAATATCATACTCATGATTTCTGCAAAGATTCAAAGATCTCGTCTTTGAGATCATTAATCTTGGGCTCATACTTGTCTGGAATGGCCATTGGAGATTCTACTCCAGCTTATTTTCTTCAGATAGGAAACAAGCTCTAACTATCTCTTAGAAATGTAGAGTAATCAAAGTAAAATTTAAAAACCATAGCCTAACTTTAAAACTTTTAAAACTTTAAAACTTTTGTAAAGCAATTATTTACAAATGATCATTATTAACAGATACTTATTAAAAATCTACAACATTCATGCATGACCAGATGCTACACAGTAGATAAATTTTTGCAAGGATGAAAATATTCTATAATATAAATCAAGTTTATGTGAAAACTTATTCAGTCATTTCTGTAACCCACTTTTCATATTTCAAAAGAAAAATAACGATTTGCAGGCTCTATATGTTAAGAACTATTTGATTCAATTAATCACATAATTTAACTTATTAAAAACAACTTTAGAAACTTTGCAAATGACAAACAATTTTAGAAACAATCTTAAAATCGTATAGCATAGGTATATGTGGTATAACTTGAATACCAGTGACAAGTTAATTGTCCCCAAACACGCTGTTCCCTCCTTCAAACACATCAATGTTATCTAAATCTGTGGGTAGACACATTCTTAAGTACTCTGAGTACTTTCTACATATCAGGTACTGAACTACATGGTTTTTCTATATAACATCTCATTTAATCCTCAACATTATTCTCTAACGTGGGCAGTAGTATCAATTCCACTTTATATCTAAGGAAACAGAGGCATAGAAAGGCTTAAAAAAAAAAAACCACTCACATCAAGGCAGTAAGTGGTGGTTCTAAGATTCAGATCCAGGCTTAACACTCCAGAATCTAGCTTGTAACAGCTACATGGTAACCTGACCAAAATACTGCAACCCAGAAATGGGAGCCCTGCCCAGGCAGCCACCTGGCTCCACTCTGACATCTCTCTCTCTAAATGGAGCAAGTAGCAAGAGGCCAACAGAAGTTTAAAAAAAATTCTGATATGATTCAAGTGTTTCTTTAACTTTACATTTATAATCCAAAATAAACAATGTTTAATGTCACTACAAATATACACATCTCAGACTGCAGGGATTATATCTACCAGATTTCTATGCTATATAGGCAATTTAAAACATGAGTTTTAAATTAATGGACTAATAAACTCTTAAGTTACACCACGTGCCATTTTAAGAAATGCATAACTCAAAATTATCTTCTAACTGGCCATCAGAACTTTATGTTTTTTTCTTTAATTTGAAATAAAAACAAATTTGATAATTTACATTACATTACATGGTTTTTCTATAAGCATATTTCATTGTTGACTTAATTTTATAGGAAATAAATTGTTTAGAGTCAAGTACTTCTTATCAAAGCAGTACCTCCAATAACTAGATTAGATAATGATCAAAGCTAAGGTCTAACAAGGATGGTTGGCAAGAGAAAAACAGTTACACAGCCAATTTTAAAAACTGCTGCTTTAATTATAACTAGGTGTGTGGGAATTTAAAATTAATTCCACCATAAATATTGTATAATATTTTACTATTCTTTGGCAGAAAGATAGTTATAAAAATTTTCAGGATTAAAAACTAAAATAAAATAAAAATGTAGATACATACCTAGAGCAAGATTCAGGTAAACATTTGAGTCCTTTGGTGCCCTCTAGAGACAGAGATTGGCTATCTAATAGGACTTCCTACGATCTCACATGTTTACCAAAATGTAAAACACTGAAATAAATATTATAAAATAAAATTACTAAATTCGGTTGTTTCCATTTTGAGCTAAGACCCACTACTTATTAACTTTTCAATAATTCAGCAATTTAATGATTAGAATTCCAAAGGCAGCTTATATTCTTCAATAAAGCTAAATTTATAATTGAAGTCTTAAGTCCCTACATTTGTATATTGTTTTACATTTGTCAAAGGCTTTCATGAACCTTTTGTCAGTTGAGCCTCACAGTGAGTTTATGAGAAACAAGGAGAGGTTTTGTTACTATTCCCATTTTAATAAATAAGGAAACAGAGGCTTCACTGGGGATAAGGAGGTCTTGCCAATGTGTGAGTCAACACCGTGAAAGCAGAGACCTGAACTCTTTATTTTCTGACTCTAATCCAGGGGATTTGGTATCACTACATCTTTTCCCTCTTAATATAATCCTGTATTCCTTCTCCACCCTCCATGCCCATATATACTGTTTTACCTCTCTGAAATGTTTTAGAGTATCTTAGAATAATAACAGAGAAGAGCAACTATAACCACAGGGACCAGAATCATGAGAAGCACTAGGGTTCTTTCTCCCCTACTGATCACGCATAGCTGAATGAGGCCACGTGGCAGTGACAGAGCAGGATTCCACAAAAACCCTGCAACTAACCCTAAATTCTTCTAGTTAATTAAATACTGTACCTTTAATTTCTCATAGATTAAGGGGGCAATAATGCCACAGTTTTCACTATATTAGTAGTAGCAATGGGTAAGGTTTAATCAGTGAGCATGTGTGCACTGCCATCAAATGGGAACGAACACCTTTGCAGGAGCGTGGCAATCTCTGACCTCATGCTGCTTCAGTGATGATCTCAATTATTTTCTCATGCCTGTCAGCATGTCTTTTTCTAAATTACTCTTTAAATCTGAAAAGAACTTTCACCTTTCTATCAAAAGCAGGCATACTCCTTACCACCGAAAGTCACTTTTTGTACCTGGTCTTCATAGGATATGTGCAAAGAAGCCTAACTTTCAACTTTGGAAACAACTGATAATATTTCATAGGAGAAAGTCACCAATCCTAAGCTTGTAGATGATTACTTTATCCTATTTATCTGCTCTTTATGTCGTAACTACATCCATACATAGAATTACAACTAAAATCAGGCAATGTCCTGTCCAGGGATGAACAATTAACTTACTGAGTGGCAGCTGTGGCAGAAACCTAGATTTCAACCTAATTCTGTTTTAAAGCACCTTACTCATGTTTTGCGAGACTGCTAATTCACTCACAAAGTGAGCACAGTATTTACATAGTAGTTATAAAGATTAAATGATATGTCATATCTTATAAATAAAAAAATCGTAAAGCCTTGTTAGCATTATTCTTCAAACTAAAGAGACCTTCTTCATAACTCTCTTAGGAGATACTGGTAAGAGATACAGCACTGCCACATTGCAAAACCCTCCTAGAAAGGCTTCATTTCCACCAAACTCTGTATAAATGATTGCTAAGATGGTTACATCTTACCAGTTTTTAACAATAAACAGACTGTTTTAATGGAGTCAGGATTCCTAGGAATATGCAATTTGTGGAATTACTCATAAAATGAAAAACATACCATCCATAATAAGTAATGCTAATGAAGTGCCTGATGCCTTATTTTGTGAAACCAAGAGTATAAACAGGATTCTAATTAACTCCAGGGGCCGTTACTCCTTCCTGTCTCCTCCACTTCTCTCATCTCTACTCGTCTCACTAAAGTCCCTCACTCGATGCTACAGTCACAGCATGTCTAGGAATACCTAAAGGAAGAGCAATGGTTTAGACTATGAGTTTTTCTTCCAGAGAAGTTTCTGTAAGGACTTATTTGCAAGTAAACTATTGCAAATAGTTTAGAAGTAGGATGTATGGGAAAAGAAATAATGTGAGCCCAAAATGAAAACCACATTAATTTGCCGGGGCTCCCAGATGCAGACAGCATCTAAAGTATCTAAACTGGGAGCCGTCACAGAGCTGATCTGTTGATGCCGTTTCTTCTACAGACACAGGATAAACAGCTACGCAAGTGACAAACCAAGCTCACACTGTCATGAGGAGCTGAACGAGAAGAGCTGACCGAGAAAATGGGAGAAATGACTGGAAGAGAGAAGGGGATCAGGGAATGTGGCAGAGAAACCATCAATACAAAAAATCAAACAGAAAGGCTAAACCCTTTCAGTCTCATCTGGGCCTTTAGCCCCCAGGAAATCTTATTTGAACTCCTGCACAATAAACCAAGTACTGTACTAGGTCTAAGAAATAAAAAGATGGACAACAAATAATCCCTCAGTTTCATGAGTTCATTTCCTTTCCAATCCATTAACTATATTGGGTACTAATAAGAGCCACATTTAGATGCTAGTTTACAATGGTGACCACAACAAGTACAGGGGTCCCCTCCCTCACAGGGCTTGCAGTGAGGTGGTGAAATGAGCTTGTAAATCAACTTTAATAGGGTATGATCAAAGTTTATTTTTAAAGTTACAAACTTTAGGAGAAAAATGAAGTTCTGGCAAAAGATGATGAAAAGGCAGGCACAGAAGGGACAATTGAGGAAAATTTCACAAAACAGGTGACATTTAAAGTAGATTTTGAACTAGGTTTTCCAGATACAAACCTAGCTTTTCTAGATGCTGAGACGGGATACTGGGAAGAACACTGATCTGGAAATCCAAGCTCTGATTACTACCTACCTATAACCTTTTAGGAGAACTGTTTTATGAAAGAGGGCATGGCTTGGCAATTTCCTTCAATATCAAAAATCTAAGCTAGTGACTCAAATATAGCACACAGCACTAATCTAAATTATGGGTTAACAAATAAAGGCCTGTAGACCAAATGTGGCCTACTACTTATTTTTATAAATAAAACTTTACTGAAATACAACCATATCTGTATGTTTACATATTGTTGTCTATGACTGAGTTGAATAGTTATGACAAAGACCATGTGGCCAACAAAGTGGAAAATGCTTATTATCTGGCCCTTTAGAGAAAAATATTGTCAATTCTTGATATAAATATAAAATGAAATATACTTTATACTTTGTAAAGAGAGTAAAATAAATATATATACACATAGGTTCTTTAGAAAAATATTCATATCATTATTTTGCATTAAAATACCTATAATTCAATATATTATTATGTAAAATGCTACATATATGTGTAGCATGATTAATCATGTATGTGTAGATGATTAATAAATATTTATTAAAATAATGATGAAGAAGAACTATGGGTAATATAGGAATAATAATAATAGTCATAATGAAATGTGCTTTGGCATTGTTTTGATAGAAGGAGGTTTTATTTCAATGTTTGTCCAAATAAACTGTCAATCTCTACCAAGGCTGCACACCACTTCCTCTTAAGCCAAATCTTCACAATATGGAGAAAACTGTTCATTTTTGGGACACAGTATATTTTTAAGTAACGGCAGTAACTGGATTTTTGTAATTATTATTTTTACTTCATTTTTTAGGAGGCTAGTTAAAGCCTTAAAGTTATATATTTTTAACAGAAAATCAATGTAAAGAATATGCTCCCAAAGCATCTATGTATACGCTTTTGCAATCTGAGTTTTAAGAAGCTAAGAATCAGTAAATTATATCACATTTTGATCTGAAAGAAAAAGCATTATTGATATTATGGCAAAAACAGTAAAATCAACAATAACAATAGAATTCCAAATTTAAAAAAATAAAAGACTAAAGCAAGATCTAAAGTAATATCATTTATAAAAGGAACACATTTTCCTATTGAGCCAAAATTGATTTCACAGAAGAAATACAATGCTTTGAGCAGGGCAACAGAAGAAAATGATTTTACTTAATGGAGAAAAATACTCACTTGTTTAACATTTTCAGCTAAGAAGACAATATAAACACTGCAGAATCCCAGCTGTGTTATCACCAGAAAAAAGTCAACCACATTCCTGGAAAAAAGATATCTAAAAATAAGTGTCAATAAGAGCTGTGAAATATTTTATGTCTCTTTTTAACTGTTTTAAAACATTTTATAATGCCATGAAGGCTATGTTAGCCAGTTTGATAAAAATATTTCAAATTCTGTATAAAACCAGCACATTGTACCCCATGACTGCATTAATGTACACAACTATGATTTAATAAAAAAAAAGAATTTTAATCAAAAAAAAATTTTATAGTTTCACATATTCTTTTGCTTCCTTAAATAAGAATCATTTAAAATACTTATTTTCTACAAAGATCACACATTTATGATCATTATGTTACTACAATTATTATAGAATGAAAGGATTCTTCTCCATTAAGTTAAAAGGCCAAGATTTTTCCATCATTACCTGTTCCTAAGATTCAACAGTTTAAGGATATCTGCTTACAAAATGATTTCATAAAAACATTTCATCTTTCAGATTAAGCCAACTCTCTTACTTCTCAAGCATCTCTTCAACCCAGTATGTCCCATCCCTCCCAGATTCACGGCATCTACCAACATGATAAGGATGCTTTCTATTACCCAAACCACTAATAAGAACGTGAGATGGAAGAGGGTCAGGGGAATGACCCTAAACCAAACCAGCAGAGACTCTTCTGTGACTTTTCTATGTTCTTATTTTTTTTTTAGTGAGATACAGTCACCCTCTGTGGATTCTGTATCTATGGATTCAACCAAACGTAGATAGAAAATATTCAGGAAAAAAAAATTCCAAAAAACTCTGAAAGCAAAACTTGAATTTTTCACATAGAGTACTACATTGAATCCATGTAAATGAAGTGGTATGTAGGTACTGTACATAGTATTAGGTATTATAAGTAACCCAGAGAAGATTTAAAGTCTACAGGAGGATGTGCATAGGTAATATGCCAATACTTGAGCAACCCTGGACTTTGGTATTCATGGGAGGGGTGAGTTTGCCCATCGATACTGAGGGATGACTGTACAACAGAAAATTCCAGCTACATAAAATAGTGCACAGGACTGGGGAAGGGATATCACAAGAGACTTCAGTCAAATTAACATCATTTGGGTATGTCAATAATCAGCTACAAATCTGCCTACATGATATTAACACACAGCCCAGACTTCTTCATTTTGGTCGGAGAACAATGAGCGACTACCACCACATGCACTTATCAATCCACTAGAGTCCCTTGTCCCTTGTGTCAACCTGCCAAGCAGTGTGGTCTGCAAAATCCATAGTCCCGACTTTTCCATGTGACACTGGAAGGCCCTTGCCTATCCTCATCCTTGCCATGACTCTCCCACTCTCCACGGTGCTTCAGCCTCTCCTCTGTACGCTATCCTGGTACTCCCAAATGAATTCAAGTCTCTTCTCCCTGATGAGTATTCCCTTAATATGTCTTCATCCTCCTGTAGTTTAGTGCCCCACAATCATTCCAGCCACTTTTACTGAAAGTCATCCTTCTTCATAGAACAAATAGACAAAGCTGCCTCTAGTCTGGAGCAGAAGAAAAGAAAAAATGGAGTTCTGGATTCTATGGGCAAGTCCTTGGGGCGTTAAGTTCTGTTGCCTTCCGTCTTCCCCTCAGCATATCAGGAACACTGAGCAGCTCATAAACCAATGTAACATCCTGGAAATCTCCAGAAAGACATCATGCAACTATAAACTACTCCACCAATGCTGTTCTTTCTCTTTTTTTAGTTCCCACCTCATATATCATTGGTACCACAGTTAGCACTTAATTTATTTACACTTCCTTATTTTTCTAATCCTGTGTTTATCTGACTTTAGCCACAGCCACCAATGATAAAGGTGTATTTAAATAAGATAGTAACATAAGGTTATGCTAAAATACATCCATACCTTAATGTCTTACGAGCATATAGCTAAATTCCACCACTTTATTTGAAATAATAAGACTGCAACAATTTGTCTTGCTTTTGCTTTACTTTTTTCCTCTTTTAAAAAAATTACTGAACAGGATTATGACACTGGTTGTCCAGGTTCTCTATAAATAATCACTTTATTTAATGTACCATAATAATCCTTTGAAGTGGGTATTACTATAAGTTCATTTCACAGTGAAAAAAACCAAGCTGAAATGATAAACTATTTGACTATCATAAAACTGAAGTATGATAGAGTTGAGATTTGAACCTAACGCTGCCTAACTCTTAAGTTTTTTATGTTTATTCCCCAACTTTATCATACTTTTATTGACACATCTTGCCAGAGTGAAATACTTAAAAATTAATATAATTTCAACAATCAGACATCAGTAATACAGCAAGTACTTACCGTCCCCAAGCTGCTTGCTTCTGAAGACAACTCCAAGGACTTACTTCCAGAGCAAAACTCACAGTGTCACTGTAACCTAAGGTTGACTTTTTAAACCTGTAATTTAATGGTATACATACAAAGGAAAAAGAAAAACTTTCAATTATATCACAAAGCCATCCTTTGAAAAGAACAACAAATTAAGGGGAATTAGTCGATGTAGGACTATGCACTGACAGGGGAGCTTTCCAAATCTCAAAAACTCAGACTTCACCTCACAGACACAAACAATGCAACTTAATTGTATGGACCCTCATATTAATCTGAAATGTAAAAAAGATCTGCATACTTCTAAAGCATACTTCATTAACTTTTAATATCGGTCCTATCTACCAGGATATTAATTTTTACCTCCTGCTAAAGTTTATGTAACTGTAGAATTCATAAAACCTTGTATTTGTACTTTATAGATTTAAATATTTCAATACCTAAAAACAACTACATTTTTCATGTCCAAATTAATCCATTCTGAGAAGAGCAATATTTAGAAAGGGCTCTACAATGAACATTCACATAAACTATCTCATTTAATCTCAGGGTGTTAGCCCTGAGAGGTAGGTGTTACTTCTCCATTTTTTCTCCTCTCTTTTTTAAGGTATGCATTGTTATTTAAGATCACAAATGATTTAAGACTAGATATTGGTCTATCAGAATAGACAATGTTTATTTTTTTAAAAAATTGGTATATTGTCCAATAGAAGTATTTTCTAACACAAAAATAAAGAAAAGAGTATTATTTTAATGACTATCTACTAAACCATGTCAGTAAAAGAATGCCAAAAGCATTATACCCCAAACTGAATTACTCATAAATTGGAGACCATTATGCCATAATTATAAGTTGTATCACTGCCTCACTGCCTCCAAGGCCTCCATATAACCTTCTTGATTTTTCCAGGCATACTAAAAAGGAGAAATTTTACTATTTTAATATTATCTATTTCACTAATAAGGCTACCTCTTAAAAAGATTCTAACCAGATTTAAATCATATGAAATCCTACCCTTTTTCATATTCATTCTCTTAAACTTGTCTATATAACAGATTGAAGGAAATACAAAGCACAGTAGAATATAACGTGATGCTCTAAATAAATCAATAGCTTTAAAATAAATAGGCTTAACAAATCCTCATTTACCTCTGACATAGAAAGTGACTGCAACGTACCAATATGTGCATACAGTGAATAGAAATAATCCCTATAAACACAAGGCTGATTGGTCCAAGCTGTAGGGAAGAAAATGTATAAAGTGTAAATATTTAAGTTTAACAAAAATTGAGTATCATTAATTTTATAAACAATGACTTGATGGATTACTCTTCTGCAATGAATAAATACTTATTGGGCAAAATGATTAAATAGTCATTTGCATACAGGAAAACTAAAAAACTTGACAAAGAAAGAATTTCAAGTAATATTTAAGACAACATGTATGGTTCTATCTTATCAACTTGGCTATGAAACCTATGAATAGAGAGTACAGATATGCAACAAAAAATAAAATACAACATTATATTTAATATCAGATGGCAAGTCCACAACTATCAGTGTCCTACAATTATAATTATATGTAACTATGCATTGTTATCTATAATAAATGACTAAAAAAACACAATATCAAACTGGGATTGTGGGCAATCAATTTCTTCCACAGACTGCTTATTGAGTACTTACTATGTGCCAAAAACTGTGATTAGAAAATAATTATTTCAAAAAGTGGTACCTAAAAGTTTTCTAGTATTTATCTACTGAAATTCAGACATAACCAAAATACTACAAAAGTTTATTTTTATGATCATAAATGTTTAAGTTACTATAAACTGGGGTGGATACAACAGCTAAATGAAGGGAGAAGTGGTAGTTAAAACTATTTTTTAGAAACCAACCCATTAAAAAAAATCAAATAGAATTTCATTACTTCATAAATAAATTCTCCTCTATCAAGGCTCTCTGTTATCATAATAAATGTCTATAATAATGTTTTAAATATTTATTTTAAAAGATATTATTATTCTTTTTCCTATTATTCTTTAAATCTGTACCTTTTATTAAGTCTACAAAACTATATAATTTCACAATACAAATAATCTGCTCTATAAATATATTTGTTACTATGAGTAGATTGCTTACATCCCTGAAAATCTAAAGGAATAGTAAGATATAATCATATCTGGAAAAATCAAACACTGTTTTAGGTTTGGAGTACTTATGTTAAATATTACAAGTAAGTAAGTAAAAATGAAAAACTAATTCTCATTTCTTATTAGATATCATTACTATAGTTCACATAATTTTATCAATAAAGCAGCTAAATGACCATCTAAATGTCACCTGACCAGGTTACACTGGACGAGGCTAGACGTTAGCTTGTGGTAATTTTTGCTGTAAATTAGACTGATAACTGTTTCTTAACTGGAGATTATAAAGATAAGTCTTACCACTATGCCTGCATTTTTTATTGCCAATGGAAGTCCTAAAAGGCCTGTTCCAATGTTTCCTTTAAGAAGATGCATAAGAGTCTGTACAAATCTGGAAAGTAAAAGTTGTAAGATTTAAACATTTTAGAACAAAAGCTGCTAAGAACACATGATCATGGTTTTAGCATTACAAGGGAACTGACAATCTAGGCAAGGAACCAAATAACATTCCCATACCTCCACTGGGCTGGAAGTCATATTTAGTCAAGTCCTATCTTTGTTACTTAAAAGTAAAATACCAAGAGTTACTGAGGAAATTAAATGACATATTTAAGTGAAAAATGGTTTTGCAAACAGTAAAATAATAAAGAAAAGGTAATTTTCTCAAAAGGTCCTCTGCTGCTATGATTTTCGGAACAATGTTAAAGGTTAGGCTAGTAAGATAGCAATTTTTGCCACTGCCTATGTAATCATGATACTAAACCTATTCGATTTATGATTACAAATCAAGATGTGAATTAAAAGAAAAAAACAAACATTTTAAAACTATACGTATCATTAGGTAAGATAAATAACTAATTAACTTTTAGAGATGATGAATTCCCTAATGGATCTGACCTAAGAATAGTTTCCAAGAGGCATTTAAAGATGAGCACTTGATCAAGAAAAAATAACCAAAACTGGGGAAAAAAGTAAACTTATATAACAAAAATGCTTGCCTAAAATTTTTTCAGTTTATGCTCATCTTTTCTAATCAATTAATTTTCATGTTACTTTGCTTAGTCATTAAATTATTATGAGAAGAACTTATTCAAATCAATTAATGAGAAAATGTCAAAAAATGTTTAATAAAATATTCCAATGCTTCCCTCCTACCTCTAATTCATTTACCATGCACTTAGCATAAAGAAGTTTCTACCTTCCACTGTTTAACTTCTAATCATGTTCCTCTCAATCAGATCTTTCCTTCCATAGCATTTGATACAAACACATATCATCACAGTAATTCTTGTACACTACTCTGTGATTTAAATGCATTTTTTCTTTCCCAATAGGTTGTAAATTCCTTAAAGATAGAAATTATAACTTCATCTTTGTGCCTTTGGTGGTATCTAGTAAAATGCCTTCCCTGTGGAAGAAGATCACAAAATATATGCTGAATGAAAACAAGACTTATAAACCCCAATACTTACGAAATACCCTCTTGACCATCAAGTTGGTAATGCTTCTGAACAGGAAGAAGCTCTTGCTCTTGTTCTTCGTCTGATGTCCCATCAAAATTCTGCTCATTTATCAAGGGCCTCATTACATCCATATCTTAAAAAAAAAAAAAAAAACTTCACTATTGTTTAAAAAACTGAAATAAAGCTGGTATAAATTATTTCAAAATATTAGGAAATAGCACGTGTACTCACCTTTACTATTTTCACCCTGAGTAACTCAGTTCAGATTAATATCCTGAATTTAAGTATATTTTTTTTTAAAAAACTAAATTTACTTGCTGGATATTCTGTTTGGATTGAGCAGTGCAAAGTGAAAAGCTTGAGTACTCAATACAAAATGTTTTTGCCTTTTTCCAAATTTACATGAGACTTATAGTAAGTGATCACTAAATTATGTGATTGAGAAATGTGAAGAAATAATCCAATTATTTTCATCTCTGGTTAGCTTCAAATTATACTTTATAAATACTAATCACACTTTTAAATACTTTAATTATAAAGCTATTCCTATATTTAAAATGTTAATGGCAAAATTTGCCCTTTACCACTTCACCCAGTCATTAGCATATAGGATTTCCTAACAACTAGAATATGCTCTTGAATATTCACATTACGGCTCTGAAGTTCAGGTTAACATTAATGTAATAATTTATATTCCATAAATTATGGTATAATTATCCATTTTCATCAATTGTACCAGTAATTCCTCTTTATTACTTTTTTCAGTGCAGGATCACATACTCAACAATTGAGTTGTTCTACTGGTTTCTTTGCCATTACATATTTCATGATGCCCTTAATCTTTTATTAAATTTTAATTTATATGGGTACATAATAGTTGTACATATTTATGGAGTACATGTGATATTTTGATAGAAGCATAGTAAATGTAATGACTAAATCAGGATAACTGGGGATATCCATCACCTCAAGCATTTATCATTTGTCTATGTTAGAAACATTCCAATTCTACTCTTCTAGTTATTTCAAAATATACAATAAATTATTAACTATAGTTGCCCTACTGTGCCACCAAATAGCAGATCTTATTCCCTCTATCCAACTATAATTTTCTGCCCACAACCCATCCCTTTCTATCTCCACCTTCCAACTCCCCCTTCTATCTTCTGGTAATCATCATTATCCTCTTTCTACTTTCCATGAGATCCTGTTTTTTAGCTTTCACACAGGAGTGAGAACATGTGATATTTGTCTCTCTGTGCCTGGTTTATTTCACTCACCATAATGTCCTCTAGTCCCATCCATATTGTTGCTCATGACAAGATTTCATTCTGCTATGGCTGAATAATATTCATGGTGCATATGTATCAAATTTTCTTTACCCATTCATGCACTGATGAACACTGAGGGCGATTCCATAACTCACTATTGTGAATAGTGCTACAATAAACATGGGAGTGTGGAAATCTTTTCCATTACCGACTTTGTTTCTCTTGGAAATGCACAGCAGTGGGACTACTGGATCAGATGGTAGTTCTATTTTTAGTTTTTTGAGGAATGTCCATACTGTTCCTCATAGATGCTGAACTAATTTATACTTCCTCCAACAGTGTAGGAGTATTCCCCTTTCACCACATCCTTACCAGCATCTGACACTGCCTGTCTTTTTGACAAAGGCCATTTTAATTTTTTGACAGTTTTTTTTTTTGGGGGGGGGGGTTACAGTTTTTGGCCAGGGCCAGGTTTGAACCCGCCACCCCCGGTATATGGAGCCAGCGCCCTGCTCCTTGAGCCACAGGGGCTAACCAATTTTTTGACAGTCAGTCTCTGACTTCTATCTCACCTATTCATCAATTACTAATCTTATTCTCTCTCTCCTATCTTTGTCCCTTATTCTCTCATTTTTAATTGTATTCTTTCTACTTCAGCAATACATATGGTATTTTATATATTCCTATTCCTAAGGACATATAGGTTCTTCCTATTATGTCCTTAACCATTTCTTAGACTTACATCTGCAATGAATATCAATATTTACTATTAGTTCTCAGTCAATGTTTCCTTAATCATCCTTGGCTGGAAGAAGTTCAGTATGCATCAGAACGACCAGTATGGCTTGCTAAAACACAAATTAATGGACTTCACACCAGTTTCTGATTAGGTTTGGGGTGGCCTGAGAATATGCATTTTGAACATATTCCCAGGTCATACTGATGTTGCTGGTCTGAGGTCCACACTTTGAGAACCATTGATTGCTCTAGTAGATGTCTTAGGAATGTATCATGGGCATAGTATTCCCTGACTTTTTTGCATATCTCAAATGAATTTCCTATAGCCTGAATACTTGCAGAACTGGATATAAAATCCTTGTATCATACTTTCTACGCTTTAGTTTCTTAAAAATGTTGCCTTGGGTTTACTTTTAAGAAAAATAAATTAAAAGTAATTTACTTCTTAAAAGTAAATTAAGAACAAAGCAAATATTAGGAAATAGCACATGGACTCACCTATCATCTTTTCATCTTTGAAAATTCTCAGGAACTCCAGGAAAAAGAGAAAAGTAATTTTCCTACCCATTAAGTAGCTTTCTCTTTTTCCTGGAGTTCCTGAGAATTTTCTTGTCATCTTTAAGGTCTAACAGCTTTGTTATATGTCGGGGTTCATTGCTCTGAGTTAATTTTCCCCAGGGGATACAATTTTCCTGAGCCCTATTGGTAAGTTCATCTAGGCTTCCTCTTACTTTCGGAAACTTTTCTTGGATTACAGCTCTAAACATCTGTTAGGTTCAAATGCTTTTTTTCCTTTTTTAGGAATTCCAGTTATATGCATGTTGGATCTTCTTTGTCTTCCATTTCAACCACTTTCTCTATGACTTTTTTTTTTTTTATTAAATCATAGCAGTGTACATTAATGCAGTCATGGGGTACAACGTGCTGATTTTATATACAACTGGAAATATTTTCATTAAACTGGTTAACATAGCCCTCATGGCATTTTCTTTCTATTTAGTAAGTTACACGTGTACCCTTGTAAGATGCATAGGTGTGGTCCCACCAAATACTCTCCCTCCACCCATCCTGCCCCCTCCCCACCCCAACCCTTTCCCCATATTCTTGGACTATAATTGGCCAAGTTCATAGTAGGGCTGAGTACATTAGATACTTTTTCTTCCATTCTTGAGATACTTTACTAAAAAGAATATGTTCCAGCTCCATCCAGGTAAACATGACGGAGGTAAAGTCTCCATCTTTCTTTTTTTTTCTTTTTTTTTTTTTTTTTAGGGAGCATTCAATTTATTCAAAAGATCAGTAAACATAGCGTTAGCCTTAGGGTTAGGTTGAATGAAGATTGCTTTTTCTGTAAGAAGGCATGAACTAGTCACAATCCTTCTCCTTTTATTTTATTAAATGATAGCTGTGTACATTAATGCAGTCATGGGGTACAGTGTGGTGTTTTCATATACAATTTGAAATATTTTCATCAAACTGGTTAACATAGCCTTCATGTCATTTTCTTAGTTATTGTGTTAAGAAGTTTATATTCTACTTTTTGAAAGATTCACTTGCACCCTCGTAAGATAAACCATAGAGGTGATCCCTCAAATCACCCTCTCTCCACCCATCCACACCCCTCCTCTCCCTTCCCCTCCCCCTCCTCTCTTCCCATATTCTTATATGAAACTAGTATCATAATAGGGCTATGTGCATTGGATATTTTTTCTTCCATTCTTGAGATACTTTGCTAAGAATAACATTTTCCAGCTCCATCCATGTAAACATGAAGAAAGTCAAGTCTCTCTCTTTCTTTATATCTGCATAGTATTCCATGGTGTACAAATACCACTGTTTATTGATCTATTCGCAGGTCAATGGGCACCTGGGCTTCTTCCATGACCTGGCAATTATGATTGGGCTGCAATAAACATTCTGATACAAATATCTTTGTTGTAATGTGATTTTTGGTCTTCTGGATATATACCTAATAAAGGAATTGCAGGGTCAAATGGCAGGTCTATTTTTAGTTCTCTAAGTGTTCTCCAGATGTCTTTCCAAAAGGAACATATTAGTTT